CAAAAGGGGCAGCCCTGGTTGGTGACAGTTTTGGTCAGCAGGGGTTTTGGCTGTCACTTTTAGCAGTTGGTGGGATGCTTGATCTTGTGTTTGAACCTGTGGCCAGTTTCAGTTTGGGACTTGGGACCGGAACTGGGACTGCATGGACGAGAACTTCGACCTCAGTTTGGGACTTGGGACCGGAACTGGGACTGCATGGACGAGAACCTCGACCTAGATTCAATTTGGGCCGTGATTCTCTTCGTCCATGGGCTACTTGCTTTCCAAATCAAAGGGCTGGGGGAGCTATTCAACATCAAGGGTTTGAGAGTTTTTGAGAAACAAAATCAAGCGGCGAGAGATCTCGCGCCGCATAGTCGAAGACGAGTACCATGGACAAGAGGTGTCACTTCAAGGGCCCGTGGACGGGATCCAGACGTACTCTGGATGAACCATGCCCTCATCCACGGGATCCAGACGTACTCTGGATGAACCATGCCCTCTCAATCGCTACAGTATTACTGCCACCATCATCCCCATTGAGAGGCCTCTCAATGCTGCGGCCGTTCACACTCCGAAAGGACCGTCGGTGGTCCAGTCACATCAGGCTGCACCCCTTCTCTTGCCAGTCCTTTTGGAGTGTGAACGGCCGCAGCATCGAGAGCATGCCAAACCGGAGATGATCAAACAGACTAAGTGTCAGAACGATGGGCCGCACGCCCACACAAATGGAAAAAAATGAGGGTGGGCGGGACCGCTTCGCCAAATTTTGGCACTAGAAATGACACTCCTGGCCCTCCCCCAACAAAACAGAAGGAAAAAAATCCACAAACTGTCTGGCTGACGAATACCATCTGCAACGAGAGATGCACAGTTGTACGTTCTAAATTGTAACCCTTTTTTTTTTTTTTTTTTTTTTTGAAAGTAAGACTCCCGCAGAATCGCTAGGGGTGTTGGTAAGAGCAGACACCATCCTTGTACTGCAATGAATAATTTATTTACAATGAAGGGCGGCACTGCTTATCACCCTCCCTGACTCAAAGAGAAGTAAAGGAGCTGTGCCACGAGAAGGACAGAGGGGACGAAGGAAGGAACGAATGAAAAAAAGGCATCTAAAGAAGGAAGAAAATGAGACGCTTGTCATATAGGGAAAAAAAAAAAAAAAAAAAAAAAAAAAAAAAAAAAAAAGGCTGCCTCAAATGAAAAAAAAGTGTACAGCCATAGAAAAACATACCCACTCACTCCGACAGCGGGCATGCTAGAGAACCTGGAGCATCTTCACGGGACCTGGAACAGCTTGGCTGATTTGACAGGTTCCAATCTGGTACCATGGTCTCAGAATATGGGACCTGGTTCCGATCTGGTACCACGCCCGCAGAAGATAGGTTCTAATCTGGTACCATGGCAAGTGGAGGGATTTGGGATCAGCTCACAGACTTTTCCAAATTGACAGGTTGACGAGACCTGGAGCAGCGGGGCCAATTTGCAGTCCCACTTTGGTCCTCTAGCTGTCCCACTTTGGTCCTCTAGCTGTCCCACTTTGATCCTCTATAATATGATGACCAATCTACTGCAGCCAGAAGATAGGTTCGAAACCGGTACCATGGCCTTTGATTAGACCATGGTACAATCTACTGCACCGGTCCCAAATCCTCTCGCCCGCCATGGTTGGGACCTATCTTTTCTTCTGGGGGCATTGTACCAGATGGGATTTGGGACCTATCTTTGATTAGACCATGGTACAATGCTCCCTGAAGAAAAGATAGGTCCCAATCATGGCGGGCGACAGGATTTGGGACCAGTGCACATACTATTCCAAATTGACAAGCCTGATTAGACCTGAAGCAGCGGGGCTAAAATTTTGGTGTACCACTTTGGTCCTCTATGAAACAATATACTGCAGCCAGAAGATCGGTTCCAATCTGGTACCGTGGCCCAGAGTTAGGTTCCTATCCGGTACCATGTCCCCCTAAGAAAAAATAGGTTCCCAATTTGGTACCACGGAGGGCAAGGGGGATTTTGGACCAGCGCACAAACTGTCCCAAATTGACAGCCTCATCCACATGAAGGTTGAAAAAAAAAAAAAAAAAAAAAAAGGTTGCCCTGGTTGCTCTCAACATGAGAAAGCGAGCAAGATTCATCGGTACGCGTTGATGGATGCACCCCTGCCTGAACCTAGTCCACTTTATGTTTTCGACGCCAGCTTTGCCCGTCTCAAAATTTGAACCTAGTGCACTTTATGTGTGTGATCCCGGGCAGACACCTGTGGTTGCATGCGGCCTTAAAGCTTGCTTGCCGATTGATGGCACAGCCCGGTTGAGCTCTCAATTTGAACCTGGTCAACATCCGAGTATTTCATCCATGATTCCATATCCTGATCTTGATCCCCCCACACCCCGACCCGACCTGATCTCGATCCCCAATCCCGACCTGATCTCGATCCCCAAATCCCAATCTGATCTCGATCCCCAAATCAAAACCTGATCTCGATCCCCAAATCTCGACCTGATGTTGATCCCCAAATCCATCCCGACCTGATCTCGATCCCCAAATCCATCCCGACCTGATCTCCATCCGCAAATCCCAACCTGATATCGAACCCTAAATCCCGACCTGATGTTGATCCCCAAATCCATCCCGACCTGATCTCAATCCCCAATCCCGACATGATCTCGATCCCCAAATCCTGACCTGATATTGGTCCCCAAATCCCAACCTGATCTCGATCCCCAAATCCCAATGGCATCCTAATTTTGAGGCCCACATCCCATCCTCATCGCGATCGCAACACCCCAACCTGAATCTTGATCTCCACATTCCAACCTGGGGCTGAAGAGCGAAGGGTGTGAAAATGTCACTGACACATCCATAGGCTGTATTGATGTGTAACAATCAGCTGAGAAAAGACATGGCATTGCACAAAGATTCTTAGTATCTTACCCACATCTTCAATGCCAAAACCCTTGTTCAAGAAAGAAAGAGGCGGAAAAGAAAACCAGTAGTCTGGCATCAGCTTTGGCGAAGATGGACAAACCCTAAGCCAAAGGTGGTCCATTCCATGTCACACCTGGTTTGATGACCATCGATTCTAGTCAATTACCGCCGAATCGAACGCCAGACGAACTCTTTGATTGTTCCCCAGTCATTTCAATTCAACTGAACGCCTGCAAAGCCGTCAGATGTACTGATCCTACACCCAGCGAACCCTTTGTTTCTGGCACCCTCAATTCAATCGATTATCACATCGTCAGTTCAGTTCGACAGAAGGCCTCCAGAGCCGTCACATCGACTGGTCCGAAGGCCGAGAGAACCCTGGGGTTCTTACACCCTTAGCTCCATTGATCCTAAGGCCATTTGAATCCTTTCAGTTTAACTCTGTCAGTTCAATCGATCAACATCGATCGACATAGGGTGCCAGGAGGGATGGCACCCGTTGGACCGCCCTTATTCTAAGACGAGAACAAAGTGCAAATATCCTTTTATTATTATTATTATTATTATTAAAAAAAAGTAACATGAGTAGAGTAGTACAGGGAGGATGTGAAAGTGAAAGCAATGAAAAGAGTTGAAGTCAGCGTTCGGGCCATAGCCTCGAACCTGGAGGTGGAGTCGGTGGAAGAGGAAGAGGAAGACGAAGAGGAAGAGCAAGGAATGTGAGAGGATGCAGCCGCGAAGAGCAAAGCAGAGGATTGAAGTCAGACTGAGATCCATGGCCTTCGGGCCGTAGCCTCGAACCTGGAGGTGGAGTCGGTGGAAGAGGAAGCGGAAGAGGAAGAGGAAGAGGAAGAGGAAGAGCAAGGACTGTGAGAGGATGCAGCCGCGAACAGCAAAGCAGAGAATTGAAGTCAGACTGAGATCCATGGCCTTCGAATTGGAGCTCAAGTCGAAAGAGCGAAAGAAGGGGAGGAACAAGGCGACGGGGATGAAAACAAGACTCAGTGCATTCCAGTGCCACGAATTGGAGGTTTGTGCTATTGACGAGGAAACCGAGGGAGAAAGAAGACGGAGATGAGGGGGAAACCAAATAACCAGCTAAAAAAAGAAATTATACTGATCAGCACCCCATGTTACAATTTACAGAACCTCCCACTTGCATCAGAGGAAGAGCAAAAACAGCAAAGAACGACACGAAAAAGGACCAGCTGCGGATACTACGCCTGGTCATTGGCCGGGCAAGCGAAGAGGGTCTACATTCGATTGCAATCCATCCCGAGGGCATGTGGACAGTTCGTCAGCTGCCAAAAAAAAAAAATACAACTCGAAAGAAAGAAGGGGGAAAAAGAAATCAAGAGGGCTGAGCAAACCACCAACAGGCGACGACAGCGACCTGAATGAGGAAGTGAGGACCTGTGAGGTGACTAATTGCTATGACGTCATCCCATGTGTCGCGATGAGGAAAACATGTCAGTTGTCCATCATAGACTGCGCTGGAGGACAGCCATCACAGGGTCCTTGTCACAGACATACGGCGCTGACTTCTTGCTTGCACTGTACCTTGGGCCCAGGTCTGACGATCCATTTAAAACTCATTGGGTTTTGGACGGCAGACTATCCAAAGTTCCAAACACACATTTACACCACCACTTTCATACAGTGCAATGCCATGTGCTTTTCGGCTGCATTACGCTCACAATACTACGGATATAATTGTGTACAATGTAGTTGGCGTGATAGGTCTACCGTGCCCATTGTCCTGATAGGTCTTCCCTGCCCGCAACTGCAGCTATGAAATGAAACATATCTGAAGTGAAACAGGCAGAGTCCTCTTCGACGTGACAAGGAAGAAGGGTGAGCAATTAGTCAAATATCAATGTCCAAGAAACTTCTTGAAACAACTCCTCAGTCCTTCGGCGATATGCTTAGTACCATTTGTCGGGTCTGGCGAATGCATACGACCCTCCCTCTTGTCATTCCCTCCAAGCATTAAGTACTGTCTTTACCTGACGAATACAGCGCCCTCCATGACTGAAATTTGCACCGAATACGGCTATAATGATCGGGCATTCTATCCGGGTGAAGACGGTAGCCTTTTTTTTTCATTAATGAATGCTTGGCATCCAAGACCCAGATAGTTTAAACAGCCCAATCGTAACTCGAAAAACCTCCATTTGATCCTGCTGCTCTGATACGTTGCGAATGCGATCAGTCTACAGCAATCCTTTCCTGCCGCAAGGATATAGTACCCTCCATAGCTTCTTCTCACAAAAGCTCATGAAAGTCCTCCTTTCACCCAATGCATGTACACTCTTGTCCTCCCCACCTAACGGTCCTACCCAGTACAAGCAAGGACCTTCCTGCAATGTCCTCCGATTCATGCTCTCGCAATGGCGGAGGCTGATGCTCCCACCGGTTCAATCTCGTAATACCACTGTCTTATCCGACTGATCTGTTTCGTCGTGAACCAGATGCCACCGCAGTCCTTGGCTGCTGCAAGGAGCATGGTCCAACCCCTCCGATGTCGCCGGAACAGGTCTAGAGAGACGATACCCTTCCTCCTAAACAGACCCACGTCATGGTGCCTTTGCATGCATTGAAACAAGTCTAGCGCTAGATTGCCAGGCGGTCTCTTCGAAGCATTGGCGCGGAGGACACAGGCCACACGTTCCAGAGCAGAGGTCGCCAAACGGTCCCCTTTGCCGAGATGTTGCCCCTGCGCAGGCGCATCTAGCGTTAATGATTGATTGGTCACATAAGACATGAGACTGTCCAGCGTGCGCTGGAAATCGTTAACACTGTTCTCCAGCTGCATTTGCCGCACGTGACACAAGCTTTCTGTGATATGGTGACTGAGTGGTAGCGATGCCAAATTCAACTGTGCAGGCAATGAAGCAGGAGCAGGAGCAGGTCCTGGAGCAAGAGAAGGAGCAAAAGCAGGAGCAAGAGAAGGAGGAGGAGGAGGAGGAGCAGGAGCAAGACCCTGTCGTGTTTTCTCGAGCTCGGGCAATTGGTCCCTAAGCGTTTTGAGCTTTTGCTGCAGCTGTGAGATTTCATGTTCCGTCTGATTCATTGCGATGATGGTGTTCAAGGAGACCACAGCTTTCCACCCATCTACCTTCACACCCATTTGTTGATTACTACCACAACAACACGATGCCTGTTTAAGTCTCTCTATTTGCTGCTTCATTTCCATCATTTGCTTGCATTGCTCATCATGATCCTGCAAACTTTCTGCGAGCTTCAACATCAACTCCCCATTCTCCATTATCTTCTGGTCAACCTCTGACCTCAGCATCCCAATCTCAAAGTTCTTCTCATCACAGCTGGCGCAAATATCCTCATCCCTTTCTTTGCCCGGGTGAGAGAGGAGAGGTGTTGATGATTCTTTGCTGCTGCTGCTGCTGCTGCCCGGCGTGCCCAACCCCTGTCCTGTTATGACTCGACACTGTGATGAATGCGCAGCTGCTTCAGAGAGCTCTCCAACCCACTTGCATCCATCACGGTGTCTTGCACAGCGCACAAGCGATCGGCCCAACATGCGATATACATACGCATTCGACTCTTTTACAGGCTTAAGGTCTGTCATTCGCACGTGACTGCGGTCCTGAGGGCATTCGGAATGAGATCGGATGAAGGGAGTCACACATGAACCGCAGAACAGATGGCCACAAGGAGTCTCCACAGTATCTTCATGAGACAACAGATTTTCACATATTGGGCACACGAGCTCCACAAGTTCCAGCAATGCTCTGTCGTGCACAACGCGATCCACTTCGATCCCCATTGCTGACAATTCAAGTGTGCCTGCCAGCGCCTCAGGAAAATGAGAATTATCGTAGTAGTCTATTAATAGCAAAAATGGTAAATCGCAATCTACATACAGGGTATGGAAGCCCGCTACACAACACGCTCCATGTCGATCCCCATTGCTGACAATTCACATGCGTCTGCCAACACCTGAGGAAACGGAGAATCGTAATCTAGTGATAGCAAACGGAAAATCGCAATCGACAGAGAGCATATGGAAGCACCGCTACCTTGATGTTCTTCTCTAATCCAAACAACGTTCTCTCGGTTACAGAAACCACTCATGCTTCACCTCTCTCTCTCTCTCTCTCTCTCTCTCTCTCTC